GCCGAGGTGAGGAACGTGGCAGTGCTGGCAGGGGCTCGTGCACTTCCTGGGGTCTTTTTGAATTCCTGTCCGTGGGATGATTCAAAATCAGGGCCAGGTTCATAACAGGGCTTAGCTACCTGGTAGGACATGGAAAGTATGTGCCTAGAGGCTGTTCTGTGGCTGTTGACCTTTCGGTGTATTTGTTCTTCATCTTTGCTTCCATCAGAGAATTCTTCTCCTAAATTTTATAATTTGGCTGCTATACATTACACACTTTTTTTTTCCCCATTCTTTCTCTATAAAGCTATAACTTTGTTGTACACTTATGTCCAAGAGGGAGAAGTGAAAAGCTCTTCCCGAAACCAGGGTGTGTGGCACCTGAAATGGAGTCCCTGGGGGCCCTTGAGCCCCTTTGCAGACACGCATCATGAGCTATCCAGCCACTCCTCTTTGTCCCCCAGGCTTTATTTGCCTTCATGTACTGTCTATGCTTGAACAACACAAGCAATAAACATTACAGTATCATTAAAGACACCTTCCCAGAAGGGGCTCACAGTGGGCAGGTAGAATTTGTATGATTTTGTGTGTGTGTGTGTGTGTGTGTGTGTATACACGGTTTTTGTATGTATGATTTTGGGGCTAGTTCTGCACAGAGGAAATGGATGCATTCAAGGAAAAAGCAAGCAAACAAGGCTGGCTGCGATGACGCTGATGTTGGGAGGAAGTGGTTGAGTGTTGAGTCTGTGCTCTGGGCTGTAGCCATAACAGTGCTTCCTTCTCCCCGGGGTTATGTTGGGTTCTACACGGATCCAGAGGCAGCTGAAAGGCAACTCAGTTGCCTCTACTAGCCTAACAAAACATCTCATAAAATGCTCTATTTTTCCCTCAAGAGAAGGGCTGCCGAAGCAGGCCACATCATGGGAAAATTGAAGTTGTTAAAAAAATTGCTGAGAGCTTGAGGTTAACTGGGTCGGGCTCAATTGGGAGGCAGCAGCCCTTGCTGTGTCCTGCATGCTGTGCATTGCATTAGGGTTACAGGTCCTTGTTTCTGCTTTTTCTGGTTGGGAATAACTTTGTGCTCGTGGATGAGAAAAATAAAAAAGGAAAGATAATGTGTGGCTAGTCCCACGAGCATGACTTTTAGCGTAGAGAATACCCAGTGATGAAGCAGAGGAAATATTATAGAAGATGAGGGTGATGAAGTGGAAAGAGGGAGAATCGGAGAAATACAAATTAAAGATTGTATTAAAAGATAGTAGCTCCAACTGACCTCATGAAGTCCCTGTCAATCCTGTTCTTCTGCTTGTTTCAGGAGGGGTGTTTTGCTATCAGAGGAGTCAGGGTTAGAGGTTGGGGCTCCTCAGATACAGCTCCACAGCTCACAGCGTGTATCTTAGGTCTATTTTCTTTATTTCTTTTTTTCTTGAAGCACAAATCCATCACTGGGAGATGTTCTCTAGCATAAAATATTCTTCTCCCTTATCTTCATTTTTTTCCAGTCCCTAACCTGAATGTTCCTGAGGTCCATGAACTACTACTAAGAAGTCCATGGAAAGTAACAAGAAARTGAACCCAGTATTAGAAGACTTTTACTATTATTATTAATGCACAGGCCCAGATTTCCACTTTAAGATTTTTCCTGGACCAGCAATTTGAGAAAGGTGGAAAATTTTGACCTAATATAGTTAAGCATCTTTTATTTTTGTTGTTCCTGCCCCTCTAAACTATTGGCAGCTCCTGCAGTTTTCACAGGTCATGATGAGCTTCAAGCCTCTCTCACCATAGGGATGTCCAGCCTTTACCAAGCGAACATCTCTTACTAGATCTGAAATGATTAGGAATCGATAGGAGATTCATAAGCATCTCCTGCTTCTCTCTCTAGTGCTCTGTAAAGGATCTGTTCACATAAAACATTTAAAAAAAAAAAAAAAAAAAGGATTTTTTTTCTCCTTGTTCTTACTTCTCCCCTTTGGAAAGAGGAACCAAAATGGTCTCACTTTAATGAATCAAGTTTGCTGTTTACACTCCCTGCAGCGCCCTTTTGGCCTGAAAGCATCTGTGCTAATTAAGCAGAAGGGAGAGTTAATTGCTCCGGGTGCCCTCTGAAGTCCATGGGGCGATGGCTGCGCAGAGGCCCCGGCAGCCGCTCACCCACCAGGCTCCTCTCCCTGCTTCCCCTCTCCTCTTCACAAGGGGTTTGGCACCGAGCAGGGCGCTCTTTTTTGGGAAGAGAGGAGACTGTTGTGCCCGCTTGGAGCGGCTGCACAGGGGGCACAAATAGCGAGGCCTGCGCTGGGCACCGTGTCTGCAGCTCTGCCCAGTGCTCGCTGGCATTTCCCCTGGTAAGCAGCGCTCCTGCATCAGCAGGTGTTCAATTTAAGGTGTACATTTACTTAAAATATGCTTAAATATAAGTGGCTTTTGCTGGCAGGGCTTAATGTGCCCTGGGGAGGGAAAAGGAAGGGCGCATGAGGGAGCTGCCGGTGATGGAGGCCGCCGGTGCGAGCCAGCCCAGCAGCGCTGGTTCCCGCTCCCCTCTCATCCCCACCTCGCCCCATCTTCCCTCCACATTTTCCAGCTGAGCTTTGTGGGCAGAACAATGTGATTTAAGAAATGCCCTTCCCACCTGAGCAAAAAATACGGCCTAAGCGAGGAAGCTGCCAGATCCGCAAAATCTGCACGCCCCTAAGGCCTGGAAAATGGGCCCCGACTAAAGCCAGGAGCCTTAGGCCGAGTTTGCAGGCGCCAAAACTGTGCCCAGAGCGGCCTGATGCCTTCTGAGCAAACCCTCTAATCTCACTTGTCAGCTTCTTGTTTGAGCAAAGTTAAATCAGGGCCTTAAAAAATCAATTTGGAGGAAACAACTCTGCAGCCCGTTGACTGCAGATGCTCTTTTTAATAAAGYGATGGTTTCTGCGGTATTTACTCAGCCCTGGCTGGATTTTCTCGGCCGCTGCAGCCCAAAGATAACTTGGCTCTTTTGCCAGTTTGGCGGAACTTCTGCCTTCCACCAGCTTCACCGCGCGTTTGCTCCCTAAACTTGTTTGGGTGTTGGAAAACTTTGCCGAATTCCCGCTGGGGAAAAGCTGGCAGCAGTATGTTAGGAACGACCGCTGTTATGGGTGCCATTTATTGAGTTTATTACGTAGCGATCGGTACCTGTGTGAAAACAGGGCTCTGTCCTTGGTCTCCCTCCTTGTTTAACGGCCCGGCCTGTGTGTGGRCCTGGGCCTGAACCCCCTGCACAAGGAGGTCCCGCCAGGCTCGGCCTTGCAAGGAGCTACTTCAAACACATGTCTGGCGTCCTGGCTTTGGGCAAGGCATTGAAATGCTTCGGCCCTCGGACATAAAAAGGCTGTGGAATCACGTATTTCTTGGATAAATGCTTACTTCAGAGCTTTAGACGCCAGGATGCTGAACCTAGGGACAGGGCAGCTATTAAAAGAGCAGGTTTAGATGCTGTTTGAAACAGAAGATAAAGGAGRTGTAAGAATAACAGCCACGCAGACCTGTTGTCCCATCCTTTCACTGGTCCCCCACATAGGAAATGTCTCCATCTGTGTAGTTACCATCGCAGCTCCTCAAAGTGTGCTTGGCCAGAGGCACGTCCCACTGTGCAGAATCAGTGTCTGTGCAGGAAAGGTTACCCTGAGCCTCCGAAATCCTCTTTTGTGGTGTTGCTGCRTGTTGTGGAATGGCCCTGTGGATGCAGGGGCTGCTCTGAAGAGGGCATTTCAGGGCAGAAACCTCAGTTTCAGTATCTGACACCACAGAGCAGTTCCCTCTTGAGCTCTGTTTTGAAACTTCTGGCAAACAAACACATACACAAACAGATTTAAATATAAACCAAAAGGCTTTTCCAGGGCATAGTCTCTCTTTTTTTTTTTTTTTTTTCAGGTGGAAGGTCATAGCCAGGTGGACTCAGAGGCTTTCCAGGTTGTCCCAGTTGTATCATCCATGCTCTGTGGGATGGTTCTATGTGTCTCCATATCCGTATACTTGTCCCTGGGACTGTGGCTGTACAGCTGTGTAGACTGTAGAAGCTGTGTACAGCCGTAGGAAGACTATGGATCAGAATGTATGGGTGTACAGCTGACACATGCATGCACAAGGAGGTTTAAACATCCGCAAAAACCTCTCTCCTACAGTGCATATACCACAGACTGCTTATGTTGGACATACATAGTCATAGGTGCATCAAATGCCAGGCCAAAATGTGGCTCAGCTGACATCCTGTGGGTCTGTTGACAGCATTTTCAAAAAGGCTACAAACCTGGGGCAGAATTTGCACAGCAGCCTGTGTGGTTTGTCTCTGGAAGACCTTTCATGGTTGTAGTTTATTATTTGTCCATTAAAATGTAGGTGTTGATACATACCCTGCACTTGTGTGGACCTCCCTCCTGTGGGCTTGCACTCTCCTGCAGCACCCCCAGCTTGCTCTTGGACGTATTAATTTGTCTGAGGTTTCTGAGCCTGAGCTTTCTGCTTCCTTGCCCTCGAGTAACCGGCGTGTTGCTTCTCCTGAGGCTGCCCCACAGCCACCAGAAGTGTTTGCAGGGAGCAGACATTCCTAGACSGCCTCACGCCAGGCCCCAAACGGGGTGAGAAGGAGGCTCCTCCTCTCCCCTGGGCACTGCCAGAGGCCGGTGCGGCCTCGGCCCCAAGGCAGAGCTGTCTGAACCCAAAGGATTCAGCCGGCTGCAGCCGCAGAGCTGGGGCTGCCCCTATCCTGCTCTCCCCGTGCCCAGGACATATTTTGTCCTTCCCGTATCAGCCTCTTCCGAGGGCTGCGGAGGCTCCTGCTGCCTCCAGAACCACAGCTCCAGTTTAGCAGCTAACTGCTGCAGGGTGCCTGGTCTGCGTGTCAGACACGGCCTCACATTTGAAGTGGCTTGTGTTTAATAATTCAGGAGAGTATGGCCGCTGCTCCTGCTCTGCCGTGGCAGGGCCTCTTCGCCTGCTGATTGCTCTCTTTCTCAAACCTGCAAAGCTGATGTATTTTTTTTTCCCCTCTGCAGTTTTGTATGGAGCTGAACCAGCCGACGTTGCCAAACATCCGCAAGTGGAAGGGCCCTAGAGGATGCTGGAAGGGTGTTGTTTCCGAAAAGCCCTCGGGCCAGCTACATAAGGTACATTAATCCCCAAGCCTGCATTTTGCTTTGTGGTTTTTTTTTTTTTCCTTTTTCTCTAACCAATGACATATTTTTGTTTTGTTTGAGGCAAACCATTCTGCAAATCCTTTTGCAGGAACTCTTCTCTTTTAAGCTGACTTCTTATTCAGCTTTAGGTTTTTTTTTTTTTTTTTTAAATAAAAATCTTCCTCAATCTGCAGCATAAAGGAAGAAGGTGCCTGTGTGTTTGGGGACTGATTTGGTGGATAGAAACAGTGCAGAAGTGTACAGGAAAAGCCACACATTARGACAAGGAAATAATCCTTCATTCTGCCTTTGACATGCTGAAGTATTCCTGATTATTTTTCCACTAGGCGGCTATACCTGTTCTGGGCTACGGCACTGTCTGGAATTTACAACTGCTTCCACCTTCCTAGTTTGCAAAGGAAGATGCCACAGAGGGGCTGCTCGGCAYGCTGCCCTCAAATGGAAAAGGAGCTTACCTTGTGCATTCCCTAAAGGGCTCTGCACGTAGATATGCAAAATATGCTGTAGGCTCTATTTAAAATCAGCCCTGTGCTGCAGTATGCCCTCCCTGCAGCATCTTGTGTCATGGGAATACATATATATACATATATATATATACATATGCATATATATATATATATACTGAAGTGAGGTAGTAGCCCAAAGGTTAGTAGCAGTTGTATTTGCTGCCGTTGATAATATCCGAGGTGTAGGGCTAGACTCAGCTAACTGTGACCAGAGGTGATGATCCCACCACAGGGTAATCTCTCTTTGGCCTTTAAGAACCACAGTGAGACCTGGAGCAAGGTCCTCCTCAGACTCAGGCCTCTTGTTGTTGAACAGGAAAATTCCTGTAATGCAGCTGCAACATTCAGGATTGTTGTGTGAGGAAAATAAGGACCGGGACATGTAAGTAAATGGAGGTTGCCTAGTAGTAGTGCATAAGGCCATCTTCATGTGTTCTGAATATTGTTGTTATTAAATAAGTGCCTGTGATTGTGTCCCAAAGCTCATCACAGGGCTTAGAATCCATTTCTTAGTATCTGGATTTTCCAAGTCAAGTTGCTTCACCCTTTGTGCCATGACATTTTTTGGACCATGGTGTGCTGCAAGGGGTAGTTACTTCTGCAGCTTTCCTGGGTAAAACCCTAGGAGGAGAAAAGAACAAAAAGCAGCAAACAGCACATGAGCCCCCCACTCTAGCATCCCTTAAAAAGACACTAAGGGTCCGAATGAATTCAAGGTTTTAAAGAATTCCAGACAACACTTTTTGTTTCAAAACAGATGTCTAATCCCTTCCGGGACTTTTTTTATTCCCTGACTGGAAGTTTACCTTCAGGATCTCTTGTTATGCCACAGCATTAGAACACTAAATTTAAAAAATTGTGCAAAGTTGTCCAAGTTGTTCCCACTTGCCATTTCCTTATTCCTAGAATTATTCATAAGGCCCTCTCTTAAATCCAAAGTCGTTCATTGGTTCTCAAGTCATGTTTCCAAAGATAACAGTGGATGTTTTGACTGTGAACTGATGATTTAAAATCATTGTCTGTGTTGTTTTGCTGGTAGGGATGTGAGTGGGAATGATTCCCCAAATTACAGGAGCAGCCTGTGGTGAAACCAGGAATAGGAAAGTTATCTACTGAGTTTTTCTTTTACATTCCTTAACAGAAGCGAAATCTGGCTCTGCTACAAGCCCTTAGCCAAGCCAAAAATTCTATTCTACCTCTTAGCTTAGTTAATAGGTTAGTTAATAGGTTGAAAATCTATACACAAATACAACACAATAAAGTAATGCAGTGTTGCTCCGAAATATATAACCTCTTTGGCCCAAACTGATGCCATACTCCACAGTGCTAAATAATGCAAAACAGTGGATCGTATCAGGTCTGCACATATYGTTTTCCTCCTTTGCATCAGACTTCCTTGTTCCCTCACTCCTATTGATTTTTGGCAAGCGGGTTAATGTGAAATCTGGAGCCCAGGAACAGAGGGTGAACTGTGAATATTCTTCCACACCTTTGTAGCCTGCTYGGCTTTTGAACATTATATACTTGTGACTGGTGGAATAATCCGGTTGGATTTTTAAAATCCAAAAAAATTTAGCCAACACTGCAGCTAGGAAAAAGAGGTGGAGAGAACTGACAGGGCCGAGAGGCCTGGACCAGTTCTCAAGCCAGGAGACTGAGTGAGCCAAGGTATTTTTAGCTTGCACACGAGAGGAATTTGCCAGACTGTGTGTGGCTCRCAGAGAGCAGCTAGGAACCAGCGCGTGCTGTTTCTTGTAGCACAAGGTCTGGCCACCGTGTGAAATTAGGAGCCATCAGCTCTGAAAGGAAGTTCCTGCAGTTCATGACCACACTGCAGGYCCTTGCCAAGTGGATTCAAACAAAGATAAGGCAAAGCCACGGAGGGAGCGCCAGCACGTTGGGGCCCTCATCCATGGGAAGCTGAGTTCCAGTTGGGACCAAGAGCCAGCACCTGGATACCCTTGAAGATCCAGCACCCGGGTACCCTTGTTTCTCTCGTGCTCTCCCCTTAAAACTCTGCTGCTGGCCACAGCTGCCCGAGGGGAGGTGCTGGGAACTTGAACTCCCACGCAGGGCTAGGCTGAAAAAAAAGGGTAATAAACTACCTTGTTACTGACCACACCAGCAAGAATCAGCTTCCTTGGCTGGAAAAGCAGGAAATGAGGCCCCATAGCAGCCCACATAAAAGGCTGCGACTTGATCTTTCAACACTGTGGCAGCCCTGGGTATGGTCTACCTATGTATGTTAAAGCAGCTTATTAAATTGTTGGCTGGATGGAAGGGTGCAGCAATGCCCTTACTGACAGGCAGCACGTGGAGGGAGCAAAGCAGTGCGGATTCCAGCACCGTGCTCAGCAGAGCCCATGGGACAGAGGGACCTTCCCGTGGCCATGGCCAGTGAGCTTGGGCCCTGGCGTGAAGAGAAGCAAGAAGCTTTTCCACCTGATCCTTCCACCTCCTACTCACAGGCTCTTTCTGCCCGTTTTCCCTTACACTTTGATGCAGCAAGTTAGACTTCCTGCCCCTGCAATTGCCAAGGCAGGACATAAACCTGTATCAGCTTTTACTGCCACGACGTGTTTTGTGAGTAACACACCTCTCTGGCAACACAAACAGTGATGCTGAGTTTCTAAACATCTAGGTGAAAGTTGCAACGAGGGGACTGCATTTGGGCAGAATGTTTCTGTTTTACCTTCTTTTAATTAATAGTTTTCCTTATTTATTTATTTATTTATTTATTTAATTTCCAGGGTGTTGAATATTCTGGCTTCCTCTGGGATGCGACAGCTGGCATTGAACTGAAAGATGCATCTTCTCAGGAGACCGCACAAACTAACGGCAACGGGAAGCACTCGTATCCTCACCCGTATCTTGCACATTTCAAGGTAACCACAGCTGGGCCAACTGACCCTCGCAGAGTTGAGCTTTTAATTAAAATATTTTGAGTGAGAGGCTTGGAAAAGACACAGATAAAAGTTGCATGAGGTGAACATGTTATCAGTTCAGCATTTTCTCGTGCCTTGTATAGCAGGGTAAGTCTATGCACTTCAGAGAGACTGAGGCTGATCTCTCTTGTACTGCTGGGATACTGCAGGGTTTCCGTCCTAAAGCTTCTTCATTGCTCCAAACCCACTTAAGAACATGACTCATTTTGGAAAGTCGCTTGGCTCTGTTGGCTGTTCTGGGCATAGGCTTGTGTGAACATGCAGCCCCTGCTGTACACAGGCTCTGATGCAGGGGTCCAGGCTGGGCAACTGGACATCTCTAGTAATGCTTTGGGTTACAYTTTTAAGTATAACAGGTCAAAAGAAAGAGTATTACTTGTGCCACGGGACGAAGCATGTCCCAAAAGATTGCAGGGAGCTGGCAGCTTGTTTCAAGGTACATTGAGTTCCTTGGTTATTCTCTGTGGCAAGTCTGGGCCGATCACAGGAGAGCAGTAATTAGTCCATGTAATGACCATGACATTATTTGTCGCTTATTAACAACTGGCGTTGCATAACCTGATTTTCCCAAGCAGTCAGGTTCGCTTGGCAGCTGCTGCAGAAGGAAGCTGTTTGCTTAGGAACATCAGTTTTCCCCGGAACTGAAAATATAGTGGGGTATTGTTGCCAAATGTATTCTTGTTGTCTTAAAAAAAAAAAAAGAAAAAAGAAAACCACACGCACAGAGCAAAGCAAGTTCTAGAAACCAGGACGGGCTAGTGAAAGTGCCTGACATAGGTATTTGCTTTCGCCTTTGTGACCTTCCTTGTCCTATCTTTATCACATTGATTTCTCCTCCTTCCTCCCCCAGGTTGGAATGAATGATCTAACGCTGGTTAACCTCCATCTGGCCTTGCCGCCCTCAGCAGGAGAAAACACAGGCAAGAACCACGACAGCCACAAGCTGGCCAGCTTTGCACACACTCTGCAGGAGACGCTGAAAGGTATGGCCTTGCTTCCATGCCAGCTCCCAGGGGCACAGCCATCAYCTTATCTAATCAGGAAGAATCTAGAAAGAACGCCTGTCCTCGTGCAGGTTCACAGGGACYCTCATCAGCTTCACACTCTCTTGAGCAGTATTTACACCTGAATGCTCCATAGAGGTGTTTTGCACAGATGTGTAAAACTAGATGTGTTTTTCCTCTGCATGTCCTAATCAACACAGTTAGCACAGGGGTCCCWAGTGGCTTTCACACTGTTCTACCGATCTTCTACTGAAATCCTTCATTATTTTAGGCTAGTATAAGACCCGACTTCAGGGAAAAGGAAATATGGAGGCTGAGGTTAAGCTTGTCTGTATCTGCTTTATGTATGTGAGACCTACCAGCAATCAGGACAAAGCTTAATGACTTTTTTTTTTTTTTCCCCCAAAGACATAGGTTCTATGTGTTTGTTTTTCATTATTTTGAGGTATTTTGGAAAATTCAGTGCAAAGYAGGAGATGTCTGCTAATGAGACAAGAGACCGGGAAGCAAATCCTGCTGTTACATGGGTGCAATATGCAGAATAATTCTGTTGATGTCAAATCAACTGCTCCAGTTTTGTGCCAGGATGAGTAACATGCATTTTTCCATGCAGCAAAACAGCACGTTGTGCGTTCAGAGTGCTGCTAGTGAGCTTTTTATTGGAACAGGAAACTCTAGCACCTTGTTTACTCCTTAGCAAAGGCACAAGAGGGTTACAGGGTTGTGTGCCCAGTGCTTTTCAGCTTGGCCCAGCTTTGCAGGGCCAGTCACCAGCTTCTGTAACACCAGTGGTGTCTGCACTTTTTATGCTTGTGCTTTTGGGTTTCCACTGGAGCTGCAAGAAGCCAGAGCTATTTTTAAGTGCTACTGATTTAAGTATTTGTCCGCATACCTTGAAATTGAAAAGGCTGCAGCCAAGCGAAGGGATCATTGGCCTAACCCCAGAGGCTGTACTGAGACACAGACAAACGTGAAGCTCTTTGGAAGTCAACAGTTAGGTTTCCTCTGGATCTAAATTTAGTTCGACACCATCAGGGCTGCTTGTTGTTTCGTGTTTTTCCTTTCATATGGTGTACACATTACTGGAGGGCCTTGCTCTTGGCTCAGGCTGTCACAYGAGAACGGACTCAAGTTTCCCCGAGCGTGTGGGGTGCAGGCCTTGTTTCACACACACATGATAGGATTCGGTTGCTTTCCACTACTGGATTACTCTGCCAGAATCAACGACATTTATAGAAATACTGCAGCCCTTCAGTTTCCTCCAAGTAAGCCCTTCAGATAGGGGTGATGAGGACTGATTTTGCTGTGGATGCTACGGGGSAGTTTCTGATCCCGCTCTGCTAAGGCCCTCCTTCATTATCTTTCATGCTTATGAAGAGGCACCTGAGGAGATTCGGGTACCCGACAGGGCCTCCGTGTCATGCAGCAGTTGTGCCCTTTACTGCTCCAGGGGATCCCGGTTCTCCCATTCCCCTCTTTCCCTMCAGCCGTTCCGGAGCGGCTCCATGGCTGCCAAGTTCCCGCATCCTTTCCGCCCGCCCCCGTGTCCCGCGGTGGGGTGATGGCCACGTGGGCTCTAGTCTGGATGTGACCCAAGTTGCTGTGATCCATGCACCGGGTTGTTGCCTTAGTAGCTTTGTCCCACCCACCTTGGCCACGGTCTGAGATTTTCCATGCGTTGGACATGAGGCTGAGAAGGCCTTTGAGAGGCCACCTGGCTGCCGCTGGCTGCAGGAAGGCCCTGGGGGTTGCAGGGCCTGTTTAGTTTATCAGGGCACGGAGTCAGGGCATAGGGAAGGACCGCAGGGCTCGYTGGGCTGCCGGGAAGGACAGGGGGGCTTCCCAGCCTGTTCACGTGTGGGAAGGAGGCTGCAAGGAGCATGCACGGGACTGCACCCCTGCAGGTGCTGCCCCTGTCACTTGTGACCCTCATAACTCCGCGCTCCGAAGCCTCCCGAGCGCCATCCCTGCTTCCCGGCTGAGCTGGAAGCGCCGCGGGAGGCCGGTGCTGCCCGGGTGGCCCCGTCCCTGCCCGCTGCAGYCCCCAGGGTGAAGGAGGGCAGCCCATGGCCGCTTCCAGCACCTTCCAGCCCCTCGATGCCACTCCGCAGGCTCGGCGCACCCGGCGGAACGAGGCCGGGCTCGTCTCCCGGCTCTCGTCAAGCGAGAGATCTTGGGGGTTTTTTGTGTGTTTGTGCAGACATGCAAAACTGTGGGCGTTTTTATTTGTTTCTTGCGGGGAGACATGCAAAAAGGAGGGCTCCCTGCACACTGCTGGACGCTGTGCGGGCCGGGCACGTCCGCCTGCCCCATGGGGAGAGCTGCAAGGGCAGGAGCCGGCTCGGAGCCACGACTTGAACGTTTCCTGGTAGCTCTTTACAATGCTGCCTGTATCCTGGGGTTGAAACCTTCACAAGCCAGTTCCTCCCAGAGTGACTCTGTCCTTCCCTGTTAGACAGGCACCAGTTTTACTCTCGATTCTAATGGGCCTGAAAAGTGCTTTTTACTCGTTATTTTTGTCTGCTTGTTTTAAGGAGGAAGGGCCACTGCCATTAACCCTTTATATTTTGACATGTATTTCACCATCATGCAATTTCCAGTGCAGTTTGCAGCTTGCAGAGGGCAGAGCACCCGCCGTTCCCTCGCTTCCCACCGGCGCCTTGGCGAGCTCGGGGGCTCTGCAGCCAAGCACTCCTTCCTGGCAGCCAGCGGTGCCCCTGCGCCCTCCCCGGCCACCACGGGCAGCGCGGAGGGAACAGGTTCTGCTCTTTAACCTGTGCTCCCTCTCCCGGCCTCCACAGCAACAGCACAAAGCCTGCAGGTTGGCGCAAGGGCCCCGAGCAAAGAGGGGGTTCARCAGCCCTCTTCTCCGAGGTCGCCTTTGGAATAACTTGGGGTCTCCAGCAGGCTGCTGCTTGGGGTTTTCCCTTGGATTCTTTGGACCTGGTGTGTCCTGTGTCAGGCTGCGCCCCCCGGAGCTCCCTGCAGGAGCCCTGGACACGCGCTGTGCCAAACACGGGCAGGACGGGCTGCAGGGGACCTGCCGCTCACCCAAGGAAAGCAGCTCAAGCCACGGGCTTCTGAAAAGCCCCAGGATCAGAAGAGCTCTGTGATGTAGCCTTCGAGTCAGTCGTTRCCCATCTTGTTGAGGAGATGTTTAAAAACGAGCATAAAATTCCTGCTGGATTTCTTTTTGTCACAATCAGAATGGCTGTAAATATGTAGCTAATGCAAATAAGTCTTTAAACAGTCTAGGTAGTGCGGGGTAGTGCTACTCAGTAGCCGTATWTTTCCTCCTGCTATTTTCTCCCTTTTCTTTTGTATTTAAGCAATGTGTGTGCCTTTTTGCTTCACTGATGTCTCTTTTTCTTCCTGTTTTGTCTGTTTTCTAGGAGAAAAGGATGTGATCATCCTAGGGGACTTTAACCAGGCCCCAGACAGCAGTGACCATGACATACTAAGGAAGGAGAAGTTCCATCACTTGGTCCCTTCCAATACTTTCACCAATATCAGCACCAAGAATCCTCAAGGATCTAAGTCAATGGATAACATCTGGATCAGCCGGAGCTTGAAAAAGGTCTTCACAGGTAGAGCTGCTTTGCAGTTGGATTTTGCAGCCTCTCTGCGGTTGGTGGTTGGTGTCACTTGGGAGTAGTGTTGCTCTGTGTGTAGTGACTTTCCACAGCTGCTGGGGAGGCCGCCGGGAATTATTTAATCGGCTTGAAGGATTTGCAGGCCGGTGGGTTTGGATCCAGGCATCCTTCTCCTCCTGATCCAGGCGCTACAATTCCTTCTCCCGCAGGTCACTGGGCTGTAGTGAGGGAAGGTCTCACCAACCCCTGGATTCCCGACAACTGGTCGTGGGGCGGCGTCGCCTCGGACCACTGCCCTGTGCTAGCCGAGTTCTACGTGGAAAAGGACTGGAGCAGGAAGGAGGCGCCGCGGAACGGGAACGGGGTGACGGTGGAACGCAGCGACTCCAGCGCCAAGCACGAGCGATGACGAGCGCTCGAGCTCGCCCAGGGCCCTGCCSAGGACTCCGCTCGCCCTGGGGCCGCAGCAGCTCCATGGGCTCAATGTGCTCCGCCGTGAAGCGGAGCTGCCGGCCCCTCTCCCTGCTTCCCACTGACTCCCGGAGAGCATCAGCACTGGGTGCGGGCGGCTCTCGCCTTGGGCCCCTCATGGCTCCTTACAGGGGGTCTCGCGGCACCAGAGCAATCGTGGCTTTTTATGGACCCTGTGGACATTTCCATGCCCGGAGACTGGGATGAGAACTGTACAGAAAATAAAACATACTTTTAATACTGTGGAAGGTCTTGTTAAAAAGCAGCCAAGGAGGCTTTGTGGTTATGTTCGGGGTGGATGCAGTGGTTATTATTCCTTTGCTGCCTCGTAAATCGAGGGAATAATGGAGGCCATAAAGAAGAGAAATGCTGCAGGAATTCCCGAGTTTGCAAGCACAGCTAACTGCTTGCAAAAGCTGCTGGAACRTGGCACGGTGGGAGGGTGGGCCAGGTCCCTGTCACCCTATGGGGTCTGCGTGGCCCTGCAAAGGGGCTTTGTGCGTGCCCGGAGAGGGAGGACCTCAGCCAACAAGCAGCCGTGACTGCATCCGGGGATGGCATTTGCCACAGACAAAAATATTTCAAGTGAGAACTCATAGAGAGAGACCCGGGAGTGGAAAAGGCAATTCAGCATTTACGAAGGACATATGTTGAACGTGGCTGAGCTGCGGAGCAGCCCAGCGYGCTCTGCCCCCGGCACAAAGTGACCACGCAGCACATTTTAATGCTGAAGGGAAAGCAGAGCTCGCTGGCRTGACCCTTTGTGCTACAAAGGGGAAAATACCCCTGACAGCAGCACCAAAACGGGAGAGGTTATAACGGAGTGTTTGGCAGCAAAACAACATGATGTTCCTGCAGCATTTCCGTTTATGAAATACTGTCCTGTTTCAGATAAAAGCTACTGCAGATGTTGAATCTTTTCAGCRTAAGCCCGTTAGGAGGTGAGGAAGCCTTTGCAGCTGTTGCAGTGAAATGTAAACGGGGCAGCTCCCATTTAATCACAGCAGGTGTGAGGAAGCACTGAGGCACTAAGGCCTAGGGAAGGGGCTGCATTGGGGCCAGCCTAGCCTTGGGTTGATGCTGGGGAAGGGGCTGTTGGCCCTGGCAAAGGGAGCAGGCAAAGGGAGGCACCTTCCTCCCTGGTGCAGGTGCTGCCAGGGTGATCTCCAAAACCCACGCATGGACTGTGGAGTTGCAGGCTGTGTTAGGGACGTGCAGCTTCAGCAAGGTGGGCTCTTTGGCCAGCAGCAGGACTCTGCGGCGCAGAGGAGCAGGGTGGAAGGTCTCGGAGCGGAGCTCTCCTGCATGTGGGCAGCAGGTGCAAGGGGTGAGGCTGGTTATTGCCCRTGGAGGTGGTCATGGCTGTCCCCGGCTCTGCTGCGGGTGCCCTGCACCAGGATCATTTCCCCGCTTTGCTTCTTGTGTACAATGTCTGTGGGGGCATGAGGTCCCTGTGAGGTCTGATTCTTTTCCTGGTGGATTTTGGGCTTCCCCAAGAACACCTTGGTCACCTTTTGCCAGTGCAAAGCGGAGGCGGTAGCTGGTAGTTCCTCCCTTCCCTGCCTTTGCCAGGAGATGTTCCTGGAGATGTTGCTGTATCTGCTGGATGGGCCTTGCTTAAAAAGCAACAAAAATGTGACCAGCACAGACCTGCCTTGCAGCACTGCGCAGACCTGGCTTGAGGAGGCAGCACAGGGCGCTCTGAGCATTTTCCCACCAGCTTTTGGGTAGCGGCCTCCAAGGGAGACTTTCCTTCTCCTTGGGACTTCCAGACAACAGCAGCTTTATGCAGCTCAGCAGCTCCTATCCTACCTGCCTCTACTCTTACGTTCCTGTCAAGGATATGGGTGCAAAGGGGATGGTCCTAAGGCGAAAGCACGGGAAGTTTCTGAGCAAGAACATGAGGAGTGTAGGGATGTGGGGCCCAGAGAGGCAAGGGAAGGAGGAAGGATGGGACGGAGTGCAGGGAAGGGGAGGATTGCAGCTGGGTGCTTCCCTCCATGGCCTCTGTTCCATGCTACCGGTGCGGAATCTCGCCCCGGCCTGGAAACACTGCTTTTCTGGGAAGTGCAATGGAGGCAAAACCAAGGGGAACTCAGCTATAAAACACTGCATATTTGGTCAGAATCTTCCTTTAGGTTGAATCTGTGTTTTTTTGTTTTGTTTTTTTGCRGGTGGGAATGAACCTATTTTCAACGATGAGTGAACCTAGTCATTAGACTCAATTAGGGAACACAGTGCTAGCATGGAGGTGAAAGCAAAGGACTGGCATTAAATAAATGCAGCCCATGGGGTGAGTGGGGAACACCGGGACAAATTCCCCATAGGGGAAAGGGGCACAGAAACCAGCAGAGAGAGCCTGGCCCATCTCTGGTCTGGCGTATGAGAAGGAAACAGGGCCCTAGTCAGACCGAGACCCTCCGAGATGTTTTCAGGGGGCTGCTCGGACAGGACCCGAGTGCTTTGCAGCCACCTCTGCCCTTGGGCAGCTAGGATTCTGCCCCTTGCTGTTGGATGAGTTAAATTCGTGCTGCACTTTCCTCCTGTGTGTCTGGAGAGCCTGCGTGTCTGCCTGGCACGTGGGAAGAAGGGGCTCCAAGAGGAAGGGTCTTGGAGGCGCTACGATTTTAGAGGCTATGAAACACTTCAGCAGCTCCATGAGAAATGACTGTAGACAGCTTTAACTGGAAGTACATGGTTGTGCCTTGAGTTTTAATCTCGATGTCATCTTTTTATTATGGAATCAACACAAATTAATGGTTTAAAGTCCAATATTCATCTTTTCCACTGACTTTAATCTAATATGGCCTGTTTCCAGTTGTGAAAAGTGCCTAATTACGTTAGATAAAATTGTTCAGTGAACCCAAAATAGATCCTTCTCCCTTTGTATATGAAAGATGCACAATCTCATTTCAAGCTCCGTACTGAAAAGCACTCGTTAATTTGGCACTAATACCCCATTATTAAAATGATTAAGTCACTTTAAAATGAAACCCACTTGTGGGAAGGGATAAGGAGCCCAGGAAGGAGCATTGGGGGAGGGTGGGAGAGGCATCAATAGGCTAAAGCAGAGCAGCTGGAGCTGCTGTTTCCCACAGGGATGATGTTGGGAAAGGAAGCACTGTCAGGTGGCCCTGGTGATGCCTTGGACTCATATCTTAGCAAAGGGCAGAACTGGTTTCTCACACGGTTCTGAAAWACCTTCAATCTTTTGTTCACAACTTAAATTCCCACCTAGCTGTAGAGCCATCTCCATCATGAGAAAGTAACACTCCTACAGGCCAGATTCTGTTCCTCTCTTTTATTCGGAAATGTTGTATAAAATGCCATTTAAAATCGGCGAGGTGAAATGGAGCACCTGTTCTAGCACTGACCAAGTTCCTCTGTGTAAATGACATAAATAGTGAGACATGAACACACAGCCAAGGGACCAGGCTGGTAGGAAAGGCTGTCATCACGTCACTGACGTGGTGAATCTTTACAGCAACTTGATCTCCTGTGCACTAGTGTCCAAAACCTTTATTACAGAACTTCAGTACCATCATGTAGGAACCAGGCTCTTCTCAGTAAAAAAATGATTCAGAAAGGTTACAAAAGCTGCACTTCCAAATTTAACGCTTTTACAAAGGTGGAAGGAAAATTTGATGTTGAAAATAGAAGCTGACAGCTGAATCTACTGCTACATACTGATTTTTTGTGTGTGTGTGTGTGTGTCTGTATATATATTGTATGGTGACCGTTTTGACTTAAACTGTCTACTAGTCACACCTATTTTTAGAATAATGAAAAAAATACAGGAAATTAAATGGCACCAGCTGCTTTGGGGAAAAATAAGATGCAGGTTTTCTCAAGCAAGGCAGAAAGACGAGCGGCATTTTGGACAGGAGGACAGCAATACAGTGTGTGGACAGGTGGAGAAAGGGCTGTGACCATGAGGGAAGGGCTTTTTCTTTTTTTAAAAATATATATGTATGTATATGTATATATAAAACAGAAGCAACAGGAGGAAGGCTGGGAATTCTCCCTGCTAAGAAGAATCACCTAGGTGTCCCTGCTGGAGCAGAGGGGTTTGACTAGGTGATCTCCAGAGGTCCCTTCCAACCGCAGCCTCCCTGTGATTCTGCAGTGATACCCCTTTCCTAAAGCACTGAACTTTTCACATAGCCCTGGACCAGCAGAGCAAGCCCAGTTTTTCTGTGCTGTATCTCAGTCTCTACTTAGTTCACCCCAAAGTCAGTGCAAGGGCGGGCTCAGCTGGCCCCGGGCGGGCTCAGCTGGGCCTGGGCCAGCTCTGCTCAGCATGTGGGCCCTGTTGGGCACCAGGCAGGCCCAGCTGGGCCTCTGGGCGCTAGGCCGGCTCTACTGGGCACCAGGCGGGCTCGGCTCAGCACGAGGCCTCCTCTGCTCAGTGCCAGGCCAGCTCAGCTGGGCACCAGGACTCAGTTGGGCACTAGGCCGGCTTAGCAGGGCCCAGGCCGGCTCTGCTCAGTSCGAGGGCTCTGCCGGCGCCAGGCTGGCTTAGCTGGGCCCAGGCAGGCTCTGCTCAGAGCGAGGGCTCAACTGGGCACGCAGGGCTGYGAGTGCCTCGGGAGGAGGGGAAGGAAAGGGATTTTGGGTCACAGCACTGGCAATAACACGAGTTTGAGGCTGGGTTCTTGGTCTGTTTCTATAAAAATGACCAAATTTAGCAAATTTGCAGAGGCTGAGTGCATTTTCTTTGTTGGAGAAATCGGGCAGTCGATACAGTGCTCTTGTGATATGGTGTAAAAGGCGGCTCATTTCCTGGAGTTCCCTAAAACCTGCAGTCTGCTCAGCCACGCTAAGCTGAGAGCTTTCCCTATGGATTTTCTTCCCTATGGATCACAAAACRTGTCATCCAGACTCCCAGGCCAGAATGGTGGCTACTGTTATGGGTGTARAATCACCCTGTGGCGCATGGGGGTTATTCCCTCCTTGGCACGAAAGTGCAGGATAAGATGGGAGAAGGAGGCAGCGGGGCCCTGGCCTGTGTAACTGGAACAGAGGGAGCCTAGTTCCAGAGCRAGATCCATGGAGGGATCCAGATCTCCCGCCCTGGAGTTCAGGCCAGCCTGGGAAAACGTCATCTACCCAAACAAACCCCTTGGTCACAGTACGTACTGGTGCCAACCTCAGTTTGCCTCAGTTCTCCCGTAACACCCCGGACCCAGGAAAAGGCAGCTCTAAGCCCTGCCGCGTCGTGCTTGACTGGCCGTGCCAGGCAA